TTATGCTGCCTGCCACAGATGTTAACTAAACTGCGCACGCCCCAGATGGGACCTGAGCACCCTAACTACTAAGCCTGATTCACCTTTCTGCTTACGATGTTTCACTGGAAGCTCTGCTCTATTACACTACTACTGCATGCGTGTGATATACTTCCACGTCATTTCAATATCTTGAAACCTTGACATGATTAAGATTCAGTCTTAATATTTTTCTGTGCTGTAACAAGTTTATAGAAACACTTTTTATTTTGCCTAACGTTTTGACTGAACGCGGTACTCAGCCTAAAGAACCAATTATATAAAGCGCTACCTAAAACACCTCCTCGTCGTCCATTGCTTTGGTCCTAATTAGTTCCAGCATGTCATGTTGAAGAACACGAGCTCAATCTATTCCGGTTTCCCAGAATTTACAATCTTACCATGCAGGTCAAGAGATACGGACGTGATCTAGCAGTCACAATCTCAATTCATATAATGATAAGAAGGACCGCAGATTATTTGTCACAGAAACTGCTCATTCTTACTGTTCTCCTATACCATCGTAGTTATTGCGTACATGCTGTTTTCTGACGTTGTCCTGCGGGATGTTTGCTAAAATAACATTACTCTCTGACTGCATTGAACACTGCTTTGCTGCGGCTGTCAGCTGGTCGGATATGAACGGCAAGCACAGAAGAATTCTAGTTTGAAGCTGGTTGCTTTCGATAAAAGTTCGCTTTGGAGCTTTAAATTGTTAATAGCCGTTGCTCGTCGTGATTTTGCAAGCATTAAGTTGTTAGTAGTCGTTGCTCATCACGATCCTGTAAGCATAAAAATATTCTACGTCCGTCTTATCATTCTGTAGGCTATAAGATCATCCACTACTACTTAAGCACCAAGTCTTTGAGCCACGTGTCACTGTTATCCCTGGGCAATCGGATAGAGTGAACTAGTATTTGCTAAGGTTGTTGGAACCCCTTCTAAGTCAGCATGTCGATTTGGAATTGGCTGCTGCCGAATAAGGGTCGGTGGGCGATGAGGAGCTGTTTTGGCGGTATGAAGTTTCTTGTATAAGTGACTCACTTTCAGGCCCTCGTGGAAGGTTTAGCAGCAAAGTCAGCACAATAAAAGTGTTCTAACAAAAACCTGTTGCGGCGTGAAAAAAATCGAGAATTGATCTTTATGTGTTCAGCTGAAAGCCGGTTGCGGCTCTTTGCCTAGGAAAAGTGTATTTGCTAAGTTCCCTCCAAGAGGCATGCTAGCAAAGTGACGTTTGTGGCCCTTTGTCTAGGAATAGTGTGTGTGTGTGATGTATGTGTGTATGGTGTGTGTATGTGTGTGTATGTGTGTGCGTGAGTGTATGTGTGTGTATGCGTGTATGTGTATGTGTGGGTATGTGTGTGTATGTGTGCGCGTATGTGTATGTGTGTGTATGTGTGTATGTGTGTATATGAGTGTGTAGGTGTGTATATGCGTATGTGTGTATGTGTGCATGTGTATATGTGTATGTATGTGTAGTGTGTATGTGTGCGTGCATGTGTTCTGTGTGTATGTGTATGTGTGTATGTGTGTATGTGTGCGTGTATGTGTTATGTGTGTATGTGTATGTGTGTATGTGTGTATGTGTGTATGTGTGTATATGTGTGCATGTGTGTATATGTGTGTATGTGTGTATGTGTGTGTAGGTGTGTGTATATGTGTGTGCATGTGTGTGTATGTGTGTATGGTGTGTGTATAAGTGTGTATTTGTGTATATGTGTGTGGGTGTATGTGTGTGTATGTGTGTATCTGTGTATGTGTATGTGTGTATGTGTGT